GTCTAAGATGGTGTTTTCCTACGTGTTGAGGTCCATCTTGTATTTTCCATTTGGGTGTGTCTAAGATGGTGTTTTCCTACGTGTTGAGGTCCATCTTGTATTTTCCATTTGGGTGTGTCTAAGATGGTGTTTTCCTACGTGTTGAGGTCCATCTTGTATTTTCCATTTGGGTGTGTCTAAAATGGTGTTTTCCTACGTCTTGAGGTCCATCTTGTATGCCTTGAAATTGACCTTAAGATATAGATATATGTGTGTGTGTGTGTGTGCATGGGCGTCGGTAGAAAGTTTTTTTCCAGGGTGTGGGCAAAGTGAAATTCAAGGGACGATGGACCCTCCTTCAAAGTTTTGTCATTAGAGTCAAGAAAATAGACAAGCTCCCACAATCAGATTTAATGGGTTTAATATTTGTAAGATTAGTTTAAGCCTTACTTGTAGCTATATATATATACTGTGTAATAGTAAATTTTGGTTTTCTTCTAGGATCTTAACCCTACAGAGTAACTTCACCTTATATAAAACAACTGCTTCTATGAATACAGTAATTTCAGGTCACATAAAGCATTATATTTCAGTAGCATTTATTGTGTATGTTTGGTAAGAACAGCAAGACTGGGTCAGTCTTTTTGATAACCTGGCAACAGATCGACCTCGATCACATTGTCTCAGGGGATGTCGGCTGGGTGACGTTGTGTGACGTAAGACAAAATCGATTCAACGTGGTTTGTAGAGTACACGCATCAGTGAGTTCAATAGACATCCATAGCATTTCACAATTATCGAAAAAACCTAACCACATATATTAATAACAACTGTACTTTATTTACTTAACCTAGTTTACGTCGTTGGTTATGTCAATGATAATATAAATAGTGTGCGTCTCTCGTATCACAGCCAGCCTGATGAGTTCTGGGTATTGGGCAAAATACTTCGTCAATACTGGATATGGTTGGCCTTCAGAAATGGTAGACGCAGTTAACTTAAGGAACTGTAAAAGAAGGCTTGATAAATATTTGAATGATAAAGGCTAGCTATGAGTGTTTTATTTTAAAAGTAAGTCTAACAGATGGGAGGCATAGATGGAACAACAGGCGCCTTGTTGTCCTTAAATTTATGGTGTGGTTGACATATTACACACTCTTCCCTGCTGCCGTTCTTAAATTCTTAGAATTATCGTTCAACTGACTTCTACTAAAGAATTAATGTGATATTCCTAAATAATACTACTGATCTAAGTTGCTACTGCAGTTATCTAGCTGTTTTCTGTAAGCCAATATGAAATACACACGTGGAAAAAAGTGTTTCATTTACATTGTTCATCCGTAAGGTATAGTAATATTTGTAAGATTCTTGTTGTTATGGTTGTGTTTGGTTACTATATTCCTTGCTATAGAGATGTTGGTGTATAAAATGGTGTTTTTACTGGATATGAGAGTTTGTTTGTCAAACAAGAGTTTAGATAAACCAACTCAGAGGAAGTTGTAATGAGTTTTAAACAAAGAAAGACAACTGATTCTAAAATATACGGATATAGATATAAAAGGTCATCACAGAAAGTAATACGTCATTGAACGTTAGATAACGAATTTGAATATTTAAAGAAAAACCTTATCAGAAACGTTGCTTTTCTTTTCTGTGTAAAATTGAATATCAAAGAATGCTTTATTTCTCTTTCGGGTGGAGTTTTATTTACTTTAACTTTCTTGTGTGTGAAATTCATACTTCTGTTAAACACTTGTGTGTGAAAATCATACTTCTGTTAAACACTTGTGTATGAAAATCATACTTCTGTTAAACACTTGTGTGTGAAAACACATGACGATACATTTTAAACTATCTTCGTGAGAGAGTGTATTTAACAATTGTAGTGTGAATTAAACCTGTCTTTACGACCAAATATTATATGTCTACATGATTGGTACTTATAATACGAGATTTTGGATTAAGACTTTTAACAATTCTGTCCAGCAACCTATATATTTAACAGTTCTGTCCGGCTGTCTAAAGATTCAACAGTGTTGTCAAACAATTAGAAATTTAACAGTTATGTCCGGCTGTCTAAAGATTCAACAGTGTTGTCAAACAATTAGAAATTCAACAGTTCTGTCCGGCTGTCTAAAGATTCAACAGTGTTGTCAAACAATTAGAATTTAACAGTTCTGTCCGGCTGTCTAAAGATTCAACAGTGTTGTCAAACAATTAGAAATTTAACAGTTCTGTCCGGCTGTCTAAAGATTCAACAGTGTTGTCAAACAATTAGAAATTCAACAGTTCTGTCCGGCTGTCTAAAGATTCAACAGTGTTGTCCAACAATTAGAAATTCAACAGTTCTGTCCGGCTATCTAAAGATTCAACAGTATTGTCTAACAATTAGAAATTCAACAGTTCTGTCCGGCTGTCTAAAGATTCAACAGTGTTGTCAAACAATTAGAAATTCAACAGTTCTGTCCGGCTGGTGACGAACTTTGTCACTCTACAGTTTTGACCACGTACACCATTAACAGTTTATAAAAGAACTAAACATCCAGAACGGGTAGCTAATTATGAAAATAAATAAAAAACAAATGATACATAGTCATGCACATAAAGATTAAAGTAGAAGTAAAAAAAAATACATATTTATTCATTAAATATATTATCCCAATTGCCCCCTAGTGGCTCAGCGGTTAGTTTGAAGGCTTATAACGCTAAAATATTTGTTTGTTTTTAGAGTAAAGCCAGAATGGGCTATCTGCTGTGTCTGTCGCAGGGAATCAAACCCCGGAATTAGTGTCGTGAGTCCGTAAACTTACCGCTGTCCTACCGGGAGACGTAACGCTATAAACCGAGTTCTATATCAGTAGTGGGCACAGCACAGATAGCCCTGTGTGTAGCTTTGTGCTTAGCTACAAACAAACAGAGTCTTCCGATTAATTATAAGTAAAAACTTTTTAAATGTCCCCTGGTGGCTCAGCGGTAAGCTTGCGGACTTATAACACTAAAGTTCGGAGTTCGATCCATGAGGTAACCCATTGTGAATCTGTGATTTTCAAAAAGCGGGTTACTATTGGTAAGTCGTGCAATAAGCAATAAAATCTCGCCAGTGCTAACACGCTACTCGTATTTATGTATAACTTGATTAAAGTTTACAATAGTATTTCTAAACAATAAAATATGTACAGTATTGTTTAATGTTTAAAAAATGTATTTTAACAAAATAAAATAGTTTGAAAATAGCTAAAAGTGTGTCTTATAACGTTTTGGCTAATTAACTTGCCCAAACGTCACGTGACTTACTTTTAGCTGTTATTATCACTTTTTGATATATTATATTTTCTGTATAGTATTGTTGGGACCATTGTGCGTATCACACTATGTTTTTACATTGTTGTTGAGGGCCCTTTTATGTATCACCGTATTTTTACATTGTTGTTGAATCAACAACAATGTAAAAAATACGGTGATACATAAAAGGGCCCTCAACAACAATGTAAAAATATGGTGATCATTAAAAGGGCCGGACTCTTTTATTTATCACCGTATTTTGCATTGTTGTTGAGGGCTCCTTTATTTATCACCGTATTTTGCATTGTTATGGTGAACAGTTGTGTTTAGAAATTGAACTGTTGTCATTGAAAATGGCGATGGAGGTTGTACATTAGCGAAACGTCTGTAAAATCAAATATTACCTAAACTTAATAATAATAAAAAAGAAACTTCAAATGTTTTCGTTAAAATTCTGTATACAAGTCAACGTTGATCCCCAAGATAAAACAGACCAACTTAGAAGATTAGAGATGAAACTAACCGACTCACGCTGGGAGGAGAGAGAGAGGGGGGGGGGTTGTAGTCTATTATTAGATACTGTAGAACACCAGTTTTTCTCAAATACATTTTCCTATCAAATTTCTTATCGTCATAGGTGAAGCGTAGTCCGAGGTTAGAGACGTGATGACACCGAACTCCTTCTGTACTCTCAGCCTTGGACGCGTTATAAAAGTGACAGTCATTCCGTTATGCGAATCAAAAAATCCTAACAAAGTTATTGTAGCAGTGGCTGTTCCTAATTTGCTGCCTTTCTTCTGGTTGGAAATTCAAATTGAAGGACAGCTATATCTGAACCATATAGGGGTCTCTGACGTGGCCGTTTTACCAGCTTCATAATATATATTTCATCAATTTCTCTGACGAGCGAGTGCAAAAAGATTTTATTTAATTATCGATGTATTGAATATTTTAACTTTATCAACACGAGTGAAACTTATCTTTCAATGATAAGGCGACCAAACTTCATTACTTACATTTCATTTCGTACCGTTGCGATAACGATATCTATGAAACATTTATTTGCGCTGCGTTAATTTAGGGTTAGAACAAACCCTCCGTTTCTGTTGTTGTTATTTGCTTTCTGCGAGTATATTCTTCCAGATTCCGACTTCGAGCCCGGAATTGAGTGATGTTGCAGTTCTTGTCAGTTCATATACATTAAAATATTTGGTTTGACAGTTAGTTAGAAACCTTGATACATCCGGTTTTATGTTTTCAGTGTTTTAGAAATAGTTTGACGGTCCCCACGTATTTGACTCTTATTCTCCTGCGTTTGTTTTTTGGACTGAAATTATTTTATTTCAAAGGTTTGTACAATCATTTCCTCTGGTAAGCGAAGTGAAGGCTAAGTTTGAAGAGCAATTAGTGACTTCGGTAAAGAAAACATTGGTGATTTACGCTTCTAATCATTGCTCAAATTTAAGTCAAAAGATTGTGAACTAAAACGAAATAAAATACTTCGAATCGAAGGGAAAATGTACCGATGATAATTCTGCTGCTTATTTTAAACTCGAAGGGATAGAACCCCAAACTTTATCGTTCGAATCACTCGTTTGTTTTGGGCGCATAACTACCTAACGTCTATCTGCGCTAGCCGTTCCTAACTTTGAAGTGACAGACTAGAGGTTTTGTTTGTTTGTTTGTAATTAAGCACAAAGCTACAAAATGGGTTATCTGTGCCCTGCAAACCACGGGTATCG